AAAACTAAACCAAGAAAATGTATTTTTTTATCGGTGGTTAGAATCAGATGGAGGAAGAGGCTGCACAGAAATTACATCTTGCTTATGGCATTTTTTTAAAACAAATATTATCAGTAGGAATATAAAAAACATTCGATTATTTTCAGATAGTTGCTCCTCCCAAAATAAAAATTACACACTACTTTTGAGTTTGCTGGTTTTGGCCTGGAAATATAAACTCAACGTTGAATGTTTTTTTCCAGAGCGTGGTCATTCATACATGCCAGCGGATCGTGCATTTGGCATTCTTGAAAAAAGAGAGTATCATATTTCCTCACGAATACGATGATATCGTAAAATCAGTTGCAACTTTATATACTGTTTCACAAGATTTTAAATGGATGAGTTGGCGAGATCTTAATAAAAGCGTGGTAACATCTAGTAAAACATTTAAAATAACTAAGGCCAGGCGCTTATTGATCAACTATTCAACTCCAAAAATTGGTCTTGCTCTTTCTTATAGCCTAGCTCCTACGTGTGAACATACAATTCTTAAGAGAGGAATGAAGCTGGCCAACATTGAAGGACGTTTAAAAGAATTCCCTTCCTCAAATCATATCAAAAACGAAAAAAAGGCTGACGTAGTTTTTCTTCTCAACAAAATGGGATATGATATAGAAAATGTTATATATTATCAAAATGTTTTACGCAGCACTCAAGATAACGATAACGATGAAGATTCAGATTAAGTGTTGCACGAGTATTTGTTATGTATGTTATTATTTCTTGTTCTTTTTTTAGTAAATGCATCCAAATTTACTAAATGGTAGTCAGTGTTTTTTTATTCCATATCGTACTACATCCTCATTTTTTAGCAAAATGTACCAAATCCAAATAGTTTTTGTGTGTATAATTGAAAATATTCATCTATGATTTGTAGAATTGGAAAAAAAGATTGTTTTAGGTACCCTTTATGTATAAAAAAAACAAAAACCCATTTTAAATTATCAAAAACAAACATTATGAAAAAAGTTAATTTACCAAATTTTCTATTTCGTGGATTTGGTACGTTTTGGAAACAAGCTTCTCAATTGTTTCGGCTTATATACCCGAAAATATTTTAGAATTTAATAATTATAAATTCGCACAGATGACCCCGTTCGTTATATATGCTGACTTCGAATCGATTCTATACCCCATAGACTTTTGTGAGCCCAATTCATCTAAATCTTTTACCGAAAAAGTTGAGATGCATCAAACCTACAGTTTCGCTTATTATATCGTTTCCACGATTGATAGCAGTTTTAATAAATTTGATGATGTTAAATTTATTTATAATAAATACTTCAAACACGTAAAATCTATGCCTCCTTTAACGGCTGGTGAGCAACAAAATTTCGATCCAGTTTAAAATTGTTTTATTTGTGAAAATCCTTTCACATCTGACCAGATTAAGGACATTGACGATCATTGGCACGATCATTGCCATATTAGCGGTAAATACCGGGGTCAAATTGTAATCTAAATTTCAAACTTCAAAATTTTATTCCAATATTCTTTCATAATTTTAGCGGTTACGATTGTCATTTATTTATCAAAGTAATGGCTGATGCGGATGAAGATGGACTTGATGTAATGCCGAACAATATATCAGTTTCAGTAAAAGAGTGTTGGTCGATAAAGTAATCGATAAAGATAATCCTGCTGAAAATATTTTTTTTTAAATTAAGATATGTGGATTCATTAGATTTATGGCATCTTCATTAGACTCTTTAGCCGGTAACCTCGAAATAAATGACTTTATCAATATACGTAAATTCTTTCCACACCCGGAACATTTTAAATTGTTAACGAAAAAGGGTATATCTTCATATAATTATATTATTATTATAATTATACCTCTTTCGATAAACTAAACGATACATCACTACCACCTAAGCGTATGTTTTACAACAAATTAAAGTTAGAAGATAGAAGCGACGAGCGATGTTCTTTTATTGGCTGATGTATTTGAAAAATTCAGGCAAGTTTGTTTTAAGGAATCATCAGAGTGAAATTTTCAAAAAATCGTTTTTTTTTTTGCATCATCGGATAGTATACACTGTTATAAACATTCTCTCGAATTTTTAAACCGAAATTCGAATTATTTCGGTCACTACAGCATTCCTTAGTGTTGTGTAGGCAACCAAATATACTTAACGGTTTTTAGAATAAGTAGATATAGGTTATGTAGAGTTTTAAGAAAAAGGTTTCGATGTAAGAACGCGTTATTGTAGTAATTAAAAAAGTAAAATAAAAAGACATAATAAACGATTGTTGATGTCTTATTCCAAAAATAGAACATNTTTCGTTAAAACTATCATTTGATATTAAGGAGTTTATAGAAGATGCATTCGTAGAATAATGAACCCGAATGACATGTCTTTTAAAAGAATGAAAAATATTGAAAACCCTGACTAACATGCTCCAATACGACATTTGGCCCCTTAATATCACATATATGGTGGACAGAATTATCAGAACCAAACGTGATAGAAAGTTCAAACATGGCTCAAAACGTCGTATAACGTCACCTTATTACGTTTTGGGCATATTTTGTTTTTTATCTCCAACATGCTCCAATACGACATTTGGCCCATGAATATCACATATATGGTCGACAGAATTATCGGAACCAAAAGTGATAGAAAGTTCAAACATGGCTCAGAACGGCGTATAACGTCATAATA